GCTCCGCCAGACGAGGCACCTTGGGCTGCCATCCCAGGCTCCCACCAGCTTTCTTGGATTCCTGCCCAGCAGGATGCCGTCCCTGGGGACTCGGGTGTCCTGCTCACACGTGAACACCTAGAATGGTCTTGGGCGTAGTTTGGGTCTGTTGCTGAGCTTTTGGTTTTATGAAACTAGTCACTGCAGGTTTCTGGTCATCAAGCACTTTCTCCTTTACCAAACCACGGCCCTGGTGGTTGTCCTACGAGTCCTCGTCCGTGAGTCAGGAGCGAGGACCACCGAGTTGCCGTGCTGGTGACAGGGCTTGTCCGGACACGGCTGGGATTGTCAGCGCTCGTTGGGGCCTGGTCCAGGCTGTCTGCGATGCCGGCCATGGTGGGAATGCTCACTCGCGCACGCTTCCCGGGGGCAGGAACTGTGCTGTGCTGAGTTCTGGTGACGCAGTGCTGTGGCGCCGGTTCTGGTTTTTGGTTAGGAAGACTGCAGTTTCCAGGGATGGGGGCCCCACGCAAGTCAGCTTATGTTACAAATGGAATTGATTAGCTCACGTGCCTCGGAAGCCCCAGAATGAACCTGGCTGGAGGCAGGGCTCGACCCAGGGGCCTCTCCTTCCATCTCCCAGGTTGTGCTCTGTGAGTTGGCTTCCTTTTCTTCAACTGAAGACAAGCCTGCCTTTGATTTCTGCCCCCCTGAGGCAGGGCCCGTCCTCCTCCTGCGTCAGCTGGCAGGCTGCCACGTCCCGGCGGCCAGAGACCTGACCTGAGGCCGTGCCCTGCAGAGCAAGGCACTGGGCGTCTGGTGTCTTGGAACACGCAGCTCACTGCCTGCTTCACCGGCCTGGGACTCTGGACTTGAAGAATAGCTCTTACGTAAAGCTTTTATTCGGGAAATTCCCGAGGAGTTTACGTGTTCCCATCATCTCCTGCTGAAGGTTCACCCCCTCAAGTTACAAAGATCGTAACTCCTCTAATAACGCCCGCGAAAGCGCAGGTGCCCGTGCATGGGGGACGGGGCCGCCAGTTTCTAGGACCCGGTGGACGGTTGTCCTGAGCCACAGACGGGGCTCGGGAAGACGTGGAGGCTTCAGTCCACCCAGCATGGGGATGCCGCTGAAGTCGCCTCGCTCGCAGTCAGCCCTAGCGACGGACCCAACGCTTCCAGAGACATCGGGCCTGGGCTCCCGGTGCGAGCCCGTGAGCCAGGTGCTGGTTCCAGTTCTGGCTCTGGCCCTTAGGAGCTGCGCGCTGGCGTCATCGTGCCATGGGGGTGAGGCTGCCCCCCTTCTTTCCTCGGCTGCACAACGGAGCTCATGAGAGCAAGGCCCTGGCGTGTTTGTACGGTCGCTCGCCCAGCAGAACCATGCCTGGGGCAGCCCCACGCCCGGGATGGAGACATTAGCTATCACAGTCTCACTACCCCTGTGCAGTCAGGCCATGTCACAGCTCATCTGGTCTTTTAGAAACGTCCTTCGTGAAAACAGAATTCTAGATTACCGTTGGGTGGAATAAAGCCTAATCGGTGTCACTCGGTCTACCGAAGGGCAGCCACACTCATGTAATTACCCACAGACTCCGGCACCAGCCGCCCCAGGCACTTCTGAACTCCACGGGATACACGGCCGGCCTGGGCTTCAGGGCCTCTTACTCGCCACGTCTCTCCCTGCTTGGAGCACATTACAGATCTCTCGCAGGCGGACTCCGTGGGCTCCACTTCCCACGCTTCTGAGACCCACGCGCCACTTGCTTACCGTGGCCAGACAGTGGTGTTACTGGGCCGCATTTCTGAATGAAGATGTATTTTGTGAATGACGCTTCCTGTGGCCAGCTCTGGCCTCGGAAATGCTGCTCCCGGCGTTTGGACGGTCCTCCTGCAAGTCTCTTCTGCACCGTGACAGGTACCCAGGGAAGGGGACCCGGGCCCTGGGGGTGAAGACTGTCGGTCGGCCTGCAGCCTGGGCGCCTGCCCCACCCGCCTGCTCCGGGCCCTTCCGAAATTGCCCACTCATTGTAACGGGGGCCCGAAGACGAAATCATCTTGAAAAGCTGTGTATGAACAGCTGACGCAAAGCAACACATTCTGTAACCAAACAGAATTCCCGAGGTTCCCTGCAGGTTTCTGGGGCTCTACAAGGGCTCCTGCACTTACGGCTTTCTCTGTTCATGAACCTCACGCTGACGACTGGCTGTTTCCTGGGAGAACGGTGTCTTTCTGGTGTTGGGGAAGGCGCACGGTGGGCCTGGTGCAGGTGCCGTCCCCGGGGACTCCGGGCCTAACGGGGTGGATGGCGATGTGTGTGGAACAGGCTGGCTGGGATGTGGACGACACGGGAGAGGGACTCCTTACGAGCAACGAAATCCGCCACGTGTTGCGGAAGCTCAGATGTGTCTCTGGGTCTATAAACAAACACGTTTTTTCAAAAAGCCGACCATAAAAATTGAAAACCAAGAGTCTTTTAAGCAAACTATATTATAATGAAGCCTATTTAATTTTAAATAAACTAATATCCACGTTAGATACATAAATAATGTCCATCCTAGGAAATCATACAATCATTTTTAAAAATAGTCAAGAAATTCATAGAAAGAAACTTTAAAAACTCAGACCCCGGCGACTTGGGATTGTGGTGGTTTCTCTCCTGCTCCGTTACTGGCCTCGTTTTGTCTCGCTTTTCCAACACAGCGGGCCAGACGTCAGCTTTGCGAGGTGCCCCCATCGACAGCTCTTCTCTAGGTCTGTGATGATTTACATGAAGACAACCTTGAGGGCTTAGGTTTTTATTCAGGCTAACGAGTCAGGTCAGCCAAAGAGCCAGGAAGTTCTGGGACCCTTTCTCAGGCCACAGAAAGAAATAAAATACTAGGTTGGTCCTCTGAGGTCCACCATCTTGGGCGGTGCACAGACGTGTTAAATAAAGAACGAGCCTCCTAACAGCCGGTCCTCCGATTTTCTGACATCCGGGTTCACACACACATATGCACGCGCACCCTTTGACCCTCTCGCCCGTCTCTCCCACCCCTGACTCGGACAATCTCTCTTTGTATTTATGCGGTTTTTAGTAAGATATGTTAATACACCTTAGTTTTATCAGACCTTCCCCAGAATGACCTCGCAGACAGTGCCACTGTCTCCCAGGGGCCATGTGCCCGGCGTTCCAGCCCGTTGCCGCTCTCCCTTGCTGTGCTCCGGTGTTCACGTCCATGGCCGCCTCGCTGGGCGTGGCGGCTGGGGACAGGGTGGACGGCCCAGAGACTGCATTGCAGCGGGGCTGGGCCACAGCTGAGTAAACACCAGAGCGAGTCTGTCCTGCTGGCTTCCTCTGCGACCCACGTGCCCCAGTGGGCCAGGCATCCAGCTCGCTCAGCACTTCCTCCCCCGGCCTTTCCGTGCACCCTGGCCACGGCCTTCCGTGCAGTGGCTCTGCCACGGAAGCTGCCCTTCAGGATTTCTGGAAAAGACAGAGGACAGGAGAGGCAGAGAGAATGGAAGGTTTTGCATTTCCAACTTGGAAGACACGTCTGCTAAAATAATGGGAAAGCGTTTTTAGCAACCCAGCAGCAGGAGGCTCAGGGCGGGCAGGTAGACATGTTCAACTCCGAGCTTCTGCAAGGCTCAGGGGACCATCTTCAGAAGGACAGGCTCAGGGGACAGTGTTCGGAAGGACAGGCAGAAATCCGGAGACATCGGGGGAAGCTGATTGAGAACTGCCCATCTCGTTCGAGAGGCTAACACATCCTAGCTAGTAATGGAAAACGAAGCTGTGTTTGCTGTTTTTCTTGCCCGTATTCCCTTCGTTAGGAAGCTAGAACACAATTGGACTCTCCCCTCCTGTTCACGGTAAGACTGCTAAGACCCCTTTCAGGCTGGGGTTTTGCCAGTTTAGGGAAGATTATATTTTATCATTCCCTTGCAGGTGCTCACATCTGCCTTACACATACTTTTTTTTGGTTTGGCTTTTCTTTGGCTGCATGTGGGCTATTTGGAGAACTGCTTCTTTGAGGTTTTTCAGAGGCTTGTTCCGAGAGCGAGGGGTTCAAACAGATTCCAGAGCTGAGCCTCCGAGGCCAAGTCCGCAGAAGTGTCTCTGCTCCTTCTCCAAATATTTGGCTTTTAAACCAACTGGAAAAGACTGTAGGAAAACTGTCACATATTAGTAAAATTAGTAAGGTTCATTGTGCTTTCTCACTGAACGTCCTTTACATACACATCTCATTAGGCTGAAAATAGGAATTTGTTGACCTTTGACTGCCTTTTTTTACCCATAAAAAAGGAGTTTTGTTTGGATCAACCCGATGTTTTTATTTTTTTTAAATTTTATTTTATTTTTCAGTGTTCCAAGATTCATTGTTTATGCACCACACCCAGTACTCCTCGCAATCTCTGCCCTCCGTAATACCCACCACCAGGCTCACCCATCCCCCCAACCCCTCCCCTCCAAACTCTGAGAAACCGGATGTTTTTAAAGCTCATTGCCTGAACCGGGTTCTCCTCCCTGGGCCTCACAAACAGGGCAGGAATAAGGAGAGAAAATAATCCCTAAGTTGATCTCTTTATTTTCTTCATCCGACTCTCCAGCAGTGACGAGTCACAGTCCCCTTTCCCACCCACTGTGGGTCCCCTACTGTGGCAGTGGTGGGGGAGTGTGGCAGACCCCACTGACACATGGTGACCCCGCTGCAGAGTGCACACTCAAACACGCTCTCTCTCTCCCACAAACAGGAACAAGAGTGTGCTGACACGGTCTGGAAACATCTGATGTTCCAACAAAGGAGGAGGCTCCAGACGGATGAGTGAGGAAGGCCGCTTCTGCTGCAGGAATCCTGTTTTTCTAACACCCACCTGGCGAGTGAATTATGGACAAGCCCCTCCCCCGGGGGGTGAGCGGTGTGGATGCAGACGTACCAGAGCTGCTGAATCCGGAGAGGAGACTAATAGAGACTAATAGAAATCCGGATCACAAATGAGAGTCTTAAAAGCAAGCTCGGGGGTGCACTCCACAGGGAACGGTGTTCAAATCCCGGTTCTCAAGTTTAGAGGCAGCAGCCTTGGACGTGTTGGTCCTGGGATGCAGTGATGGGACTGATGGGATGAAAAGTAAAGTGATGAACGCTGACCCAGGAAGAAAGGGCCTGCCCTGGTTTGGTAGCTCCGCGCTGCAGAGAAGGGGCTGCAGATCACCCGGAGGCCGTGGGCGCGTACCCGGGGGGAAGCATCGGTGCGCCGGCCTGGGGGACCAAGCCACGGAGACCCTGGCCCCGGGCTGGCCCACGCCGCGGTGCCTCCTCCAGAAATTCAGCTGAGATTGCACGGCGCTGACGCACTCCTCCTCGCGGCAGAGGGGAGCGGTGTGGGGGCCGAAGGAACTGTGCACACACAAGTGAAATCTGATCGCCGGCCAGGGAAAGCCCCTGAAGCTAGAGCCCCGGAGGGACCGGCGACCTTGCGCAGCCCGAGTCAGGGCGCGGTCATGGTGGGCTGCTGAGCGCGGGTCCGGCTGCGGCGGTGGCGCAAGCAAGCGTCCCCATGGAGAACCCGGTGCCCCCCTGCGCCCTCTACCCCGGAGACGACCGCGGCCGCGGGGCCGAGGCCGGGGGCGCCTTTGCGCAGGGAGCGTGCGGCCAGGCCGGGGGCCAGGGCGGCGCACCCGCGGCTCCGGGAGAGGGCAGCCTGCAGCCGCCCGACGCGCAGACACCCTGCAGTCTCCGCGCGTCGCTGTGCTTCAGCTCCGGGGACGGCTCCCCGCCGCAGTCTCGCGCCTCCGCGGCGGAAGGCGCAGCGTCCTCCCCGCCCTCGCGTCGCAGCGGCCAGCGGGTGGTGGAGCGGCAGTGGGAGGTCGGCAGCGCCGGCGCCGCGTCCGCCGAGGAGCCCGGGGACCCCGAGCAGCGCGCGTCCCCGGAAGATTCTGTGTCCCCGGAAGAGCCCGCGTCCGCCGAGGAGCCCGGGGACCCAGCGCAGCGCGCGTCCCCGGAAGAGCCCGCGTCTCCCGGGGAGCCAGTGTCCACCGAGGAGCCCACGTCCCTGGAAGAGCTCGTGTCTCCCGAGGAGCCCGTGTCCACCGAGGAGCCCACTTCGCTGGAAGAGCTCGTGTCCCCCGAGGAGCCCGTGTCCCCCGAGGAGTCCGGGGACCTCGCACCAGTGCCCCCGGGCGTCGGGCCGGCGCACGGGGAGCCTGACCTGGTCATCGAGGTGTCAGGCCGCCGGCTGCGGGCGCACAAGGCGGTGCTGGCGGCTCGCAGCGACTACTTCCGCGCGCGCGCGTCCCGGGACGTGCTGCGGGTGCAGGGCGTGGGCTGGGCGGCGCTGCGGCTGCTCCTGGCCTACGCGTACAGCGGGCGCATGGCGGGCGTGCGACCCGACAACGTGGCCGAGGTGGTGGCCGGCGCGCGCCGCCTGCAGCTGCCGTGCGCCGTGCAGCGCGCCACCGAGGCCGTGGCGCCGCAGCTGAGCCTGGCCAACTGCTACGAGGTGCTGAGCGCGGCCAAGCGGCAGCGGCTGTCCGAGCTGCGCGACGCCGCCTACCGCTTCATGAGCGACCACTACCTGGACGTGCTGCGCGAGCCCGCGGTGTTCGGGCGCCTGTCGGGCGCCGAGCGGGACCTGCTGCTGCGCCGCCGCCTGCGCGCCGGCCGGGCCCGCCTGCTGGCCGCCGCGCTGGGACCGGCCGGGGAGCGCGCGGGCAGCCGCCCGCAGAGCCCGTCGGGGGACGTGGAGGGCCGGGCCGACGCCGCCGTCTACTGCCTGCACGAGGCGGCCGGCGAGTGGCGCGAGCTGACGCGGCTGCCCGAGGGCGCGCCGGCGCGGGGCTGCGGCCTGTGCGTGCTCTACAACTACCTCTTCGTGGCCGGCGGCGTGGGGCCGGCGGGTCCCGACGGCCGCGCGCGCCCCTCGGACCAGGTCTTCTGCTACAACCCGGCCACCGAGCGCTGGAGCACCGTGCGGCCGCTGCGCCAGGCGCGCTCGCAGCTGCAGCTGCTGGCCCTGGACGGCCACCTGTACGCCGTGGGTGGCGAGTGCCTGCTCAGCGTGGAGCGCTACGACCCGCGCGCCGACCGCTGGGCCGCCGTGGCCCCGCTGCCCCGCGGCGCCTTCGCTGTGGCTCACGAAGCCACCACCTGCAACGGCGAGATCTACGTGTCCGGGGGCTCCCTCTTCTACCGCTTGCTCAAGTACGACCCGCGGCGCGACGAGTGGCAGGAGTGCCCGTGCAGTAGCAGCCGGGAGCGCTCCGCGGCCATGGTGGCCCTGGATGGCTTCATCTACCGCTTCGACCTGGGCGGGGGCCGTGGCGACTCGCAGGCGGCGGAGGCCGGAGGCGTCAGCGTGTTCCGCTACCACTGCCTGGCCAAGCAGTGGAGCCGCTGCGCCGCGCACCTGCGGCCCCCGGGCGCGCCGTCCAGCCTGCAGCCCTTCCGCTGCGTGGCCCTGGACGGCACCATTTACTGCGTGAGCCGCGCAGGCACCTGGCGCTTCGTGCCCCCGCAGGACAGCGAGCCGGGCGCGGACGTGGGCGCGGGCGAAGGCGGCAGCTTCGAGCCCGCGCCGCTCTGCGTCCCCTTGGACGCCCGAGGCGCGCTCTTCCCGTTCGTGCTCAACTTGCCAGAGAAGCCAGAGAGAGGCGAGGAGGGCGCCGCGTAGGGCGGGCGGGGTCCACCTGGGCATCTCCCTCAGGGACGCCCCCGTGGGCGGAGATCCAACTGGAGGGGGCGGGGGGGGGGCACGGTCCATGGGGGCCATTTAAACCCTTTGAAGTTGGAAGCTTGTCGCGGGGCTTTGAAGACTTTTTGCAATGCTGTTTTAAGGTCTGCTGCCCTATTCTGCATTCCCTTTTGCGCCGCTATGCTTGACGGGGTCAATGGCACAATATGTAAGGTGTGTGTAAAGAGATGACCTTACAAATAGGGCATGGGATATCGGAGGGAGAAGGAGGAGGAAGTGGAAGATGACGCCTCAGGGTCAGTGGGTGGGTCCCAGAGTGCCCGTCGGTTGTCCCAGAGTGCCCGTTGGGTGCTCAGGGGCGCTTGAGCTCCTGAGTGGGATGGAGAGCGTTGCAGACGGGAGTGTGCACAGTAGCTTCCTAACTGCACCAGGAGAAGGCCCTGCACATAGCTCAGGGCCACCGCGCCCCGGGGGAGCCCCTGAAGTAGGCCACCGTGAGTTCTCTTGGCTTGAGGTTTACACTCATAACCCATACGCAGAGCTCTTAAAACTTCTTCTGCTTTAGTGAAAAGGCTCATGTCATCCTATGTTCGAGTGTGGGTTGGGTTAGTTCCCGATGTTGCAAGCGTGAAAGGTGGGATCTGTCCCTGTCTCCTGTCCAGCAAGCAGGGAAGGATTGCCCCCGCCCGCTGCGGATCCCACAGAATGGGCCTCACCCCCTCTCAAGGGCCACTCCATCTCACCTTTCAACCCAGATAACTTACAGATTTTTGAGTTAAAGGGTGTTAATGATTATATCCGATGTCCTAGTAATGACTTACTTCAGAGAGCAGACCGTGAGTAGCAAAAGCTGACCCCAAGGATGCTTGTCTGTTTTGAAAGGAATCTTCCTCAGGTGCCCTCTGCATGAACAGCCACCTTCCTGTTCTCTAACGGGCTCAAAGAAACGGGTGCCCCTTCCCCTTGCCCCCAAGAAGAAGGTTGAAACCCCCTCTCGGCACTTCTAAAGACGAACATGTAGGCACCTTTGGAATCCACTAGTTACCGATGTTCGCAGGATGTATTAGGCCATTCTGAAGAGGGAGATTAATTTTTACAAGTATGGTGGCAGGAAGATGTGGCAGTGACAGGAAGTATACTGACATAAGGGGGAGGTAATGTGTATTTATAATGTAAGTAGCAGGTAAACTACATTTTTTCTAATCGAATTCCAAAATACCCTAATAGAATTAACATCAATTTCAGTACTTTGAGAGGTCACAAGCGTTAAAAAGAAACCAAGTGATTGCTCATTTGTTATAACATTTTACTTTCCAAACAGGTGTAGACAGAGTTTACTGTTTATTAAGAATTTAAGGGTAAAGTGTGTGCTCAGAAATAGAGGCAAACCGATCTGAATTCTGAATCGAGGCCATTTTAAAAAATTATAATAGGAAAAGTGCATGTTGACAGTCACAGGCACTTAACCAGAGGAAATCACGCACCCCCTTACTGCTTTTCCCTTCTTTCTCCAGTGGTGGGGGTTGACGTCTCTGTAGCAACAGTGGGTCATTGGGAAATAAGTTATGCTTTCTAAAGAGTCTGTGGTTATGGAAGTTACTGGTTAAGTATGTTTGGAAATGACTAGCTTGCGTCATTATGCACGAGCCAGAAGACTGGAGTTTAGGATTTCTGTTAGAGTTTCTTCTGGTGACCTGTGTGCTCACTCACGACTGCTCCTGAGCCAAGAAGGTATCTTGGCAGCCTGGTTCTTCATCTTAGAAAAGAAGGACAGACTTCGCCTTGCCTGGCCTTCCATAGGAGTAGAACGCGGAAACCGTAGCAGAAAGGGAAGTTAGAGCAAAAGGAAACAATGTTCTTTTAAAGAAATGTGCGCCTTGTGTCCTAGCACATTTCCCTCTAGAAAGTTATATTTATGCTAAAACTTTTATATGAAATGGAACCAGGCCAATATTTTCATTCCTTAATTCTCCAATTCATGAAATACTATCACTGTGATTTTGCTCGCGAAATCATTCCTGCGATGTTTGCTGTTTCAAAACAAAATGCTGTGGAAGTGAATTTCCAAAGTAGGCTCGTCCCTACAGGGGCACATGGGAGGTGCTGTCCGGCGGGTGCTGACAGCCTCAGCGTCCCGTGCCCAGCTGGAGTTCTGTGTGTTGTTTTATGATTTAATTTAACAAAGGCCGGCCCCGGACCTGGCATCACTCCTGCGGGAACTGGCCTTGGAGTTCCAGGGTTTGCTGCAGTGGAATGCATGAGCAAGCCCAGGGAAACGCAAGGATAGGTGGGAGGACATAGAAGAGCGTGGATCTTATTTCTAAATACAAATACCTCCTAGAAACATGCCACGAGGACCAGTTTATTTTGCTTTTGGGCCAGTATTTGGAATTGTAACCATAAGGTTTGCAGCAGTCAGGCAAGCAGGTGGGGGCCGGGGCCACGATGTGGAGGACTGCGTGGTGCGGGGAGGGGCTGTTGGGGGGCATTCCCTGCCGAGACTTGCCCCTGACGGCTGATGCTCCAAGGAGGGGCCTTTGCGTAGACAACGGGACGCTTCAGGCCCGCGCCCAGCGCCGTGTAGGGATGCCTCACTATTCTCATTCCTGGGTTGCTCGTTTTGCCGCAAACTCCTGAAGACTGATCTGTCAGAGGCCAGCGAGTCTGGCGTGTGTAGGACCACCCATAGCTCTCACAGGTGACCCCTGCACGCAGACATTTCCCCATATGCGAACGAGCAGGGGGCTTGTCCGGGGAGACTGTGGTGGACAGAAAGGTCCGGCCTTTGGCTAGCCGACAACCTTTGTCCATGGAGGTTCACTTGAGCCGCAGAGACATGGGGCTGGCGACGTCTTCTTCCATGTGTTTATTCTTGGTCTTGGGAACAACCTGAGCCCCGAGCAACCGTTGGCAGCTTTCGAGCTGGACTTGGGGCTTGTTGGTGGGGTTTCTGTGTCCTTGGGGGCCCCTCTAAGAAGACACACAGACGCCGTGGCTGCGTGTCTGCTGTGGTTCAAACTCTTACGTGTGCATTTTGCCGCAGACACTCAAGAAATGCAGCCGTCTGCCGCATCTGCACCATTTCTGGTGGCATTGGTAATGCTGGCTCCTCGGGCGGGCTCTTGGGTAACTTCCTGTGAACGATTCTCAAACGGCATGTGTTTGAGGTCCTTGGCTGTATTTTCTAAAGCTGAGGTCCATTGGGACCACAGCCCGCTGGAGCACCTGCAGGGCCGAAATGTCAGCCGATGGGCCGCTTGTGTTTTATTTTAGACGCTTCCCAGCTTATGAAATGTTGCAGTCGGGCATTAAAAAAATTCCACATTCTCACTTACCCTGTTCCTGGGCTGTGGTATTCATGAGGAGATGATGGGGCTGGGAAGGGAGACCGCACATGCTCCAGCCACACGCGCCTTTCTCCCCTGCGCCGGGCACCTGCCCGCACGCACGGCCAGGCCCCCACGCTCTGGTGCCGGGCGTGCCGCTGTGACGCGCGCCGGGACTCTGCTTGCGGGGAGCCGAAGTGCAGGCTGGATGGATCTCCTGGGAGGATTCAGCCCTCCACGGCTCTAACAAGCGTGAACAGACTGCAGGGGGGCGTCGGGTAGAGACGCACCAGGCCTGCCCCCCGCAGGTTAGGCCCGTGGATGCTGTACGTGCATGGAATGAGCTACCGCTTCGGTTTCTCGCGCCTGGGCGCAATTGCTGTGAAGCCTTGTCCGTGTCCGCTTATGCCACGATGAAATAAATCATTGGAAATGCTAGTGCTCCTGAGTCTGCGCCGTGGTTGCTTGTCTGCCCCACCCCTGCACCCCGGCAAGCAGAGCTGAGCCCCGAGTGAGGTGCCCTCCCTCGGGAAACCAGGAGCGTCCTCACCTGGGCCGCGGAGATGCCAGCCCTGCCTGCCAGTCCCACGCTGGTGGCTCCCCTCGGTGGATGAGGGTGTGATGACTCCTGAGGCTCCTTCCAGCCCCCACGTTTACGCTTGATGGTCTCTTCACACTCACAAGGCGCCTGTCCACGCCTTCGCCCTCTCACCTGTCCCTTCCCCCTGCACATGGCAGCACGGGTTGGTTTCCATGCCGGCCACACCTCTGGGTCTCCGCGGTCACTTACTCCTACAAAGGGAAGTCTGTAGACCCAAACATCTCTTACAGTTTGCACTCCCCAGGATCACGGGCCCGTGCCATTGTTAATTTGTAGGGGTTCTTTAAGAAATCATTTCTTTTCCTCTTAAAAATATTGTTTCAAAATCCCAAAACTCAGGGCGGGGGGCTGGGGGATGTAACTTAGGCTAGGGGGACGCAGCAGCTCCCCGACCTGAGCTTGCCGTCTCTAGTTTTCTTATGGCTTTTTTTCCTGCAAAAACAGAATTTAATCTGAACTTTTGCACAGCTGCAGTTCCCTCCCCCCACTCCCCCACCCCGAGTTTTGGGATTTTGATAATAGATTGGAATGATTTTCTTGGCCTCTCACATCTTTTCAGTTAGATGTAATGCCACAAAACACAGGGGCTTTGCAGACAGAGGTGATGAACTTTATAACAAGTTGGGGCCCACGGAGGGTATGGGAAAAGCTCACATCGCAGGTCTGAGATTTTTGCCCCGTGAGGAAGGAGATTTTCTTAAAACCACTTCCGGCAGATGAATTGCCATCTGTGTTTGTGAAGGAGAGTTATTGTGCTCAATTCTTCAGAGAGCACAGCGGCCACCAAGCCCCTCCTTGGGGACCATTTTGCTGGTGGTTGGTGACCCTGCCCTTTGGCGCTAACAGGACATTGACCTGGGCACTGTGCTGTCCTAGACTGACCTGCTGGTTCCCGCGGATACCTCCAAACATTCCAGCAATAGGGAGAAAGCAGCCGTGTCCCAAGGCGGTCCCGCTAGAAGCAGTCACTGGAGTGTTTCAGGGAGGGGATCCGGCACTGACTGCTGATCACCGACAGCGGGTCATTAAACTCCATAAAGCTGTCCCCTGGCGCTGGCTGGCAAAGGTAGGACTAAGGCAGTGGCACGACGTCGTCTGCGTCCATTCTGAGTTGCGGGTCTGTCCCCTGCTACTGGAACCTGTACGGACGCCCGACTCCATGAACAGTCACATTTCCGTACTTGCCAACACGGGATTGCTGGCATCATCAACAATGCCATCGGAGCGCTGACGGGTCAGCCGTGCACACCCTGCCGCAGGCACCCCCGGGTCGGGGCTTCTCAGACCTCAGAGTCCGGGAAAGGCACTTTGGGAACTCCTAAAAAATGCAAAATCCTAGGTCCCAACATGAGCGGCTCCATTCAAGCTGTCCCCGGGGAGCCCGGAGTTTGCGT